CCTACGCCTCCTGAAAAGGACTTGACATTTAATGCAAGTAGCAAAAACTTATAGTCAATAAGTTCTACCAAGTTCAACTGCTTTATGGAGAACACTGAGAATGTATATCTGAAAGTCAAGATCTATATAACTCAAGCAATTTTGAACAAATCAGAAATGAAACAGCAAAGAATCCATCTCCGTCCTATTTAAGAATTGTTTGTTCTTTTCACCCTTTCAAAAGAGTAAAAAAAGTTTAGCGAGGATATCTGCTACCCTGCTAAATGAGAAAGTTCAGATAGGCATCAGAATCAGGAAAGGACAGAGGTAGAATGAGAATTCACTAACCAGGGATCACAAGGCCAATGAAAGATTTGAAATGAGAGTACTGTGTCACTGAAGAGCAAAAGTGTCAGATATTTTTGGTGACCTCAATAAAGTGTGTTAATTAAAAAACTTATTGGAATGGTGGCAGGAATTTGTTAGCTATGAAAAACACCACCACTGAGATGGTTTCTGCTGATTATATTTTATTTCATTGTCAAGACAATCAAGAAGTTATAAACCTTCAGCCAATGCTGATGGAAATACAAAGGCTAATTCTTCCTTTTGCCAAGGTATTGCAATGCAGTTTAAGCCATCAAATGTAAGTGAAAGAAAGGTTGACAACAGTTTCACTTATTCACTTGTAATAGAGCACATTTAGCATTGTTGTTTTTTTTAGAAGTTGGGTCACCATATAACAATAAAACACGTAATTTATTATTTTTCATCACAGGAAGAAGAAGAAGAAGAAGAAGAAGAAGAAGAAGAAGAAGAAGAAGAAGAAGAAGAAGAAGAAGAAGAAGAAGAAGAAGAAGAAGAAGAAGAAGAAGAAGAAGAAGAAGAAGAAGAAGAAGAAATAGCACTCTACCACATTTGTTTTATTTATTTATTGAATTTGTTTGCCATCCTTTTCATTTAGAAGCAACTCTGGGTGGCTCAAAATATTAAAAGAAATAAAAACCTAAAAGATAAATATTTCTAAAAGCAATAAAAATACTACTACTATCCAAAGTAAAATTAAAGGATGGGGAGGGAAAGAGGGAGCAGGATGCATGGGCGTAGGTGAGGTGGGATTTACTATTAATTCATCATCCACTTCCAGTGTGATACTCCCCTGTTGAGAGCCCAAGCCAGCTGTCAGAACCAGGTCTTCAGGCCCTTAAGGAATGTTAGAAGGATGGGTGAAGATCTCAGCTCAAGAGATTAAATGTCACAAAGGTCAGGAGCCATAGTAGAGAAGCCTCTTTTCCTGAACCCCATTGTCCAAAATTCTTTTACTGATGGAACCCGCAGCATGCCCCCTCTCTGGCATGGGTGATGGTTCCTCAAGTAACCTGGACCCATGCCATTCAGGGTTTTAAAGGAAATAAACAATATCTTGAATTTCACCCAGAAGTAAACTGGCAGGCAGTGTAGCTCATGGCGTAGTGATGTAACATGGGACACTCTAGGGGCCCCAAGAACCTCCCATGCTGCTGCACCCTGTACCAGTTTTGGCTTCCAAATTCTCTTCAAGGGAAGTCACATGTAGAATGCATTGCAGTAGTCCAAATGTGAGATGACCTGGGCTTGAGTGACTGAGTGCAGGGACTCCTGATCCAGGAAAGGCTGCCACGGCATAGAACATGAATTTGTGCAAAAGTCTCCTAGCTACAACTGTCATCTGCTCTTCAAGCAGGAGTCATGAGTCAGAAGAATCTTCAAGCTGCAGACCAGGCCTTTCTGGAGTAGTGTAACCCCATTCTGAACTAAAGTTGTTAAAGTCCCAGGTCTTGATGCTCCATGCACCTAAAACCATTCAGTCTTGCCAGGATTCAGCAGAACCCTGTGGTTCCTCACCTAGACCCTCACAATCTTGAGTCATTAATGGGAGATGATGGCAAGGAAATAATGAGCAGTAGAGAGAAAACAGAACTGCTTAATCCCAAAGGTGTTTTTTCATGAAGCAACTGGACTTTTTTGTTTTTTTTGAAGATGTTTTGCTTCTCATCCAAGAAGCTTAATTTATTCTTTGCATCTGTCTTCACACAAAAAGATAATACAACCCGATTTACAAAAAACAGAACAGCAAAAGACAGGCTATGAATGCAAATTAAAATAAGTAAAAATAAGGTAAGAGAACACCTGTCACATTTAGATGAATTCAAATCATGGGGGTCTGATGGGTTACATCCCAGAGTTCTGATAGAGTTGGCAATAGATCTCTGAACTATTGACCCATATCTTTCAAAGTTCTTGGAGTACTGGGAAACTATCTGAGGACTGGAAAAGTGGTGATGTGGTTCCCATCTTCAAAAAACTACAGACCAATCAGCCTGACATCAATACCTGGGAAGATCTTGGAAAAGATAATCAAGCAACAAATATGTGAACACCTAGAAACGAACAATGTTGTAATCATATCATGCTAAACAAATTTTATTTCATTCTTTGACAAAGTAATTAAATTAGTGGATCAGCAAAATAGATGGATTTGTAACTGGCTGACAAAGTATACTCAGCATATAGTCATTAATAGAAGTACATTCACATAGAGGGAAGTAAGCATTGAGGTACCTCAAGGTTCTGTTTTAGGCTCAATGCTCCAATATCTTCATAAATGATTTAGATGAGGCAATAGGGAGGGGAACTCATCAAATTTGTAGATGACATTAAGCTGGCAGGAATAGACAACACCCCAGAAGATAAGCTCAAGATCCAGATGGATTTTGACAAACTTGAAAATTGGGCCTTATCTAACAAAATGAAATTCATTGTGGATAGAAGTAAGATTTTACACTTAGACAAGAAAAACAATTGTACAGGTACAGACTAGGTGAAATTTGGCGCAATACCAGTAACTGTGAAAGGGATCTAGGAGCTATAGTGGACAACCACTGAAATATGACTAGCAATATGCCACAGCCACCAAGAAAGCCAGTGATGTCCTAGGTTTCCTTACAGAGGGGTAGAATCAAGATCATGTGAAGCATTAGTACCACTTTACAAAGCCTTAGTAAGACCACACTTGGAATATTACATCCAGTTTTGTCACCACAGTATAAAATGATGAGAAAGAGTGTAGAAAAGAGCAACAAGGATAATTGGGGGACTGGAGGCTAAAACGTATGAAGAAAAGTTTCAGGAATTGGGTATGTCTAGTCTAGTGAAAAGAAGAACTAGAAGAGACATAGCAATGTTCCAATATTTGAGGGGCTACCACAAAGATGAGGGGGTCAATACATTTTCCAAAGTGCCAGAAAGCAAGAGAAGAAACAATGGATGGAAACTAATCAAGGAGAAAGGCAATCTCGAACTAAGAAGAAATTTCCTAATGTTGAGAACAATTAACCAGTGGAATGCCTTGTCTTCAGAAATTGTGGGTGCCCCATCACTGGAGGATTTTAAGAAGAAACTTTGTCTGAAATGATATAGGATCTCCTGATTGAGCAGGGGGTTGGATTAGAAGCCCTCCAAGGTCACTTCAAACTCTGTTGTTGTTGTTGTTGTTGTTGTTGTTGTTATTATTATTATTATTACACAGCTGAAGCACTTTAACATTCTCTCTAGCTAGTTCAGACATAGTGATTGCTGATATTGTTAGGAGTGAATCTGCTCAGCTTCAAATGGCTATCTTAGGCTGATTCCAGTCACCTTCCTTGGCCATTTTGGTTTTGGCTATAGGAGATACTTGAAATATGGTATATGCTTTCCAAGCTGCCTGGTTTAGGACTCTTGAAATTATTTAAAAAAAGAGATTGGTTTTGCCAATTCTGCATTGCTGTTTCTATCGTTACTGGGTGAATTTCAAGGTTTCTGCTGCTTCTACCAGCATGTGGGACTATACTTTTTACTGCTTTTAATACTTCAATGAGCCACAATTTTCCTTACCCCATTCTGCTGATTTTGGTTGCTGCTGGCTCCCGGACAACATTGGATTTGGTGCCAAAGCTGTTATTTCCTTATATAACTAATCAAAAGTAAAACTCTGTTATTCATCGCTCTTTTCTGCTGCACTACAAGTTATCTTTCGTACCTTTTTATTAAGCTTATCAAAATATAAAACATAAATGAAAATGAAAATAGTGGGAAAATGGGGAAATGAAAAGGGAAAGAAAGAAAGAAGTATAGGTTAAAAGGAAAAAAAGAAAGAAAAGCATTAGCTTACAGCTCTTTTTATTGCAGTAGAATAAAGTAATAATATTACAGCCTCAACTTTTTATTTTTACATAACATGTACTAGCTATTTCAATAACAACAAATTTATCTAATCAGCAAATCCCAAAGATAAGATTTCATTTTTTTTTCTATTTCAAGCACAAAATCCAGAAGTAGTTTCCAAGTGGAAACTAAGTTGGATGTATACTTTGATTAAAACAATTAATTTAGTCACCATTGCTAGTTCCATCAATTTTTCCAATCTTTCATCCATTGTGGGAATTAAAGTATATTTCTATTTTTATACAAAAAGCATTCTTGCTGCTATCAACATATATAATAACAAGGTTCCATATATTTTTGCTAAGTTTTTTTTATCTATTAAGCCTAAAAGAAAAGTCTCTGGTTTAATTTTTATATTGACTTTAAGAATCTTCTGTTTTAAAATATGAATCTTACCCCAGTATTTCTTTGCTTTCCTCCATACCTGAGACATGTCAATCCATATTTGAACATGGCTTTAGTGTTTTTTAAAAAGAATTACTTCGGATCTATGTTCAGAAACAGCCAAATTAACAGATCACAGGCATCTAGCACTTGCACATCCACAACTTGTTTGTCATGTAATCAGACAAAAGTAGATGGCTAAATATGCTTAAATAAATATAAATATATAAATATAAATAAATATAAATATGTTTAAATATGCTTAAATGGACTTCAGAAGATGGTAGAGGACAGGAAGGCCTGGAGGAACGTCCATGGGGTCACGATGGGTCGGACACGACTTCGCAACTAACAACAACAAAATATGCTATTCAAAATTTGCCTGTACTCACCCAACCTTGCCTCCTTTTCATATCAGGGACAATGACCTCCGTGGTTTATCCAGCAGCAGATTCATCTAACCTGGAAAGGGAAATGAATCCAAAGAAATCTATAATTGCTTCCCTGAACTTTCTTACTTAAAACAATATGGGTACAATAGGTTTTAAATTTTAGTGGTTGTTTCCTTAGAGAGAATGTATATCAAGCAAATGAGGGTGAGGAGTCCTTGGTGCTCTTTGAGCTTGGTAGTTTACTTGAAGTTGTTTCATTATCTGACTAGGTAACATCATCAGGTACTAGGTGATATACTGATGATGTCACCAATTTGGGTAATGAAACATCTTGAAGCAAACAATCAAGTTCAAAGAGCACCAAGGACTCAACATCTCCACCCTGAGCTATACATATTCTCTTCTATGGATGAGGTTGTATCTTGATACTCATACCTGAACTTTACAAGACAAGAGTTCAACAAACTTACTTTTTTTAAAACAAGTTTTATTGTTTTTTTCATTTTACAAACAAGTGCTTAAGAAACAACGTGGTGGCAGGGCAATCAATTGTCCACAAAACAAAGTCATACTCATAAAGTTCAGATTAAATCATTAAAAACCCCCTCTCTTTTCCCTTTAATAACATATTATATTTAAATTTATATATTTCAATACAACTAAATCAATCATAACAATCCTCAATAACCTTTCATTTAAATAGATCCACAAATCCAAATCCTGTGTGAAGCTTAACTATTTCAATTACTATATTCCATATTTATAATCTAAGTACATAGTTAACACTTCGGGAGTCTCCCCATTACCTTTTCCTTAACATATTCAATAAACATTTTATTAATATCATCTCTTCTTTTTCCTTATTCTTCTTCCATTACAAAGTGACTATCAGTTCTAATATAAAAACAAAATATTAGTTCAAGTCAGAAAAGAAAAAGAACAAAGAAGAAAAAACAAAGACAAAATAAAAAAGAGAAAAAATACCTTTCTATTTCTATTATACTTTATAATCTAACAATCAATCCCTCAATATCTGTATCACATTTCTTTAACCTCCTCCCAAAGTTACTATATCCCAAGCATATTAACACATAGACAAACACCTTATTATTAAGTTCAGACCTTTAATAAATTTTTATTCAATCTAACATCTTATTTAACTGTCTTAAGCCATAAATCAATCCATATCTAGTAAACCTTTTAAACCCATTACATAAAACCTTAAGTCACACTCTTAAATCTTATTCTAGCTTTCCTTTTATGCCAAACAGGTTTCCATAACAATGCCACTATATCAATAAACAAGTCACTTTTTATGTCTTGTAGTATCCTTTGAGTCAAACAGAGACATCCTCTTTTCTGTTTTAGAGACCTAGCTCCTTTGTAAGTAATCCCTTGATGTTTTGAAAAGTCAAATCTCCACGTGTGAAACTGTTGAATGGCCAGTTCAATTATGTCCAATTTTGTAGCTAATAGTTGTTTATCCAAGCTACCATAGTTCTCAGTTCATTGGGCTTGTCTGTCCATTTCTATTGGTTTTAGGGTTGTAAGTGGTTTAATTGCAGTCCTTTTTAGTTCCTCGGAGATCTCATCAGCATGCGTATGAAGTAGAATGGAATCTTCTTTACCTTTAGTTAATCCCGCTTCTGTTGTTTCTTGGTCCATAGAGTGCTCAGACAAAGTCTGGGAGTCAATTTGTAAATTCGAAGCAGAATTTCTGTTTTTTATTTCCATAGTAAATTCTTTTATTTGCAAACCTATTTCATCAGTAGCTTCATAAAGTTTTTCCAGTATGACTTCCAGTGGATTTGCACTGGCGATGGTGGCTACTTTGTAGCCGTCCTCCTGAGAAAGTGTTAGAACTGCTAAGAGCAGCAGGCATCAGCTGTTCTGCGGTTCAGAACCTCCTTCCCGGGCAAAGGAAGGGAGGGGAGTATCATCTGAATAGCGGTAGAGCCTCTGAAACCCTCCAAGGAATTTTTTTTTGGGGGTTGAAAAGAGTGCTCCCACAGAGTTCAGATTGTCTCCGCTTCTCAGCTGTCTTTGTCTCCAGGGACAAAGCGAGACGCCACTCCCACCTCCGCGATTATAGAGATCTGGTGAGTTATTTTAAAAGTGGACAGAGCTGAATAAAGGATTTATTTTATTTTATTTTATTTGGACTTTTAGTTTAAAGATTTATTTTTATTCCCTTTTTTTTCTTTTGCTGAAAGGGAAAATAAAATGGCGATCGGCAGGTTTTTTTTTTTTTCTTTTAAGTGACCGGAATGGAACGGAACGGATTTGATTACTTATAATGATTTTTTGAAAGTGGATTTGGGTTTTAAGAGGACTATTTTCCCTTTTTGTTTAACCCTTTTTTTTTTACTTTTTAAAGGGATTTTTTTTGTATCTTTTGTATTTTTTTCTTAAGAAGGAGGAATGGAGAAATAAATTTTTGAAAATGGCTTCAAAGCGTCAAGCAACTTCTACAGTACCGAAGGTGGCTTCTTCTCCTGCGATACTACCAGCACAACAACCTAAACCTATACCACCGTCTTCTCCCCCTCTGCAACCAATAATGGTAAAAGATATGCAAGATATAATGGGAAATGCTATATCTCAAATTAGAGGTGAAATGAAAGAGCTTTTAGTGGAGAATAATAGTATTTTGAGGCAAGATATAGTTTTGGCTTTAAAAGGACTTACTTCTGTGGTTGAAAAATTGGATTCTCGACTTGAAGAAGTTGCAGGCAAGGTGGAGGTTTTGGAGGAAAAGTTTGAAGGAATGGAGAAAAAGGTGGAAATTTCACAAGATGAAATTGTTATGTCCCAATATAGAGAGATGGAGTTTGCTTTAAGAATCAGGGGCTTGAGAGAGGACATGCAACAAGACCTGAGAGAGATGGTAGTAAATGATTTTGCTGTGATCTTGGACAGAGAAAAAGAGGAAATATCTAGAGAAATTGAAAAAATATTTAGAGTTAATTCCTGGGTTGCAAAGCAAAGAAACCTGCCAAGAGATGTGGTAATTTACTTTGGGAAAAGATCTCTGCGCAATGAAATCATACAAGCTTTTTATAACAAGAGGTTTCAGATTGCTGCACAAGATGTTATAATTTTAAAGGAGATCCCATCTAAAATTTTAAGAAGAAGAAAAGAGTTTGCTTTTCTGGCTGACGAACTTAAAAAAAGGCAAATGCCATTCAGATGGGATATTCCAACTGGAATAGTGGTGAGCCTTGCGGGGACTCGTTATAGACTTAATACTGTTTTTAAAGCAAAGGAGTTTTATACTTCGGTCCTGGGAGCATGCTCATCACTACCTATAATGCTTAAAGTCTTGGACGGGAAGGAGGTTGAACAGCAGTCTGAAGAAGCTGTGTTGATGAAAGCTGGAAAATCACAGGCTGAGTGGTTTTAACAAGTTGAGATGAAAGAGCAAAGAATGACTCGGGCAGCGCATAGACGTAAGGAAAAGGAACAACAGAAGAAAGATATCAAAGAAGTTTTACAAGAATCTGCTTCTGAGCCTGTGGGAGGAGCAAGACCTAAGAGATCTTCGGTACAATCTTCAATGGCAGATCTTCAAGCAGTCTTCTCCAGGCTTATGGATGAGGGAGATGGTAAAGCTCCTGACATGGAATGCTAATGGCCTCAATTCCCCTCAAAAGAGAAAGAAAATATTTCACTATTTGAAGCAGCATAACAATGACATTATTTGTTTGCAGGAAACGCATATTATCTCTAAGGATCAAAAATATTTAGTTAATGCTCGATTGGGATCTCATTTTGTATCTTCTGCTCTTGAGAAGAAAGGGGGTGTAGTTATTTATGTTAAGCAAAATTTATCAGCTTGTTTAGTAGATTCTGATCCTCAAGGGAGATATGTTATGATTGAAGTGGGACTGTATGGTAAGAAAATACTTATAGTAGGTTTGTATGCACCAAACCAACAACAGGAACAATTTTATAGGTTGTTGCACCAAAAATTGATTTTATTGGATTATAGATCTGTTATATTGATGGGAGATTGGAATGGAGTTTTAGATACATGTAGAGACAAAAAAGGACTTTCTATTTCTTTTAAACAGGCTAAATTACCTAAGGCTTTTTTTGATTTGAAAGAGGACTGGGAGTTGCGAGACTATTGGCGAGAACACAATCTGGAAGAGAGAGACTTCACTTTCTTTTCAGATAGACATCAATCTTTTTCAAGAATTGACTTTTTTTTATTACAACGGATTTATACTTTAGAGTAAAGAATGTAAAGATATTCCCAAGGACATTGACAGACCACAGTCCAGTATGGATGGAATTGGTTACTGAAAAAGAGGAGAGAAGATCTTGGAGGTTGAATGAAAATTTGTTTAGGCAAGAAATGAATGTTCAGAAACTTAAAGAGCATTTAAAGGAATATTTTGTTTTAAATATGCATAAGGGTACTTCAATGTCAATGGTATGGGATGCAGGTAAAGCTTATATGCGTGGGGTTTTGATGCAAATGAATAAGATTCATAGACAGAAACAGGTGCAGAAACGTAAGGAGTTGGAAGATGAGATTAAATTAAAAGAAAAAGTTTTAATTTTGAATCCTACAGATGAGAAGATTAAGGAATCTATAAAATTGCTTAAATCACAATTTAATATGTTAATGGCAGATCAGACTGCAACTAATTTACTGTACATGAAACATAACACATTTTGTAATGCTAATAAGCCAGGGAGATGGCTGGCTTATCAATTGTGAAAGAAACAGAAGTTGAGAATTATAGACAAAATAAATTATAAAGGCAAATTGGTATTTCAGAAGGACTTGATTAAGAAATCTTTTTTAGATTATTATAAAAAATTATATATGGGTAGGAAAGTACAGGCTTTAGACATAGATAAATATTTACAAGATGCTCATTTCCCTAAACTAACAGAAGATCAGAAACAAGAAATCAATAGATCAATTACCACGGAGGAAATTGTGACAGCAATTAAAGAACTAAAGTTAGGTAAGGCACCTGGTACTGATGGACTGACATCAATTTATTACAAGACTTTGATAGATGAGCTGATAGAACCTCTAAGGGAACTTTTTAATAATATATTACAGGTTTAGAGACTCCCTTGTCTTGGGGCAGAGCTTTTATATCTTTGATTCCAAAAGAAGACCAAGATCTTACGTTACCAAAGAATTATAGACCTATATCTCTTTTGAATGTAGATTATAAGATTTTTTCAAAAATTTTAGCTAATAGATTTATGGTTGTGTTGAACCAATTAATACATATGGACCAAACTGGTTTTATAACTGGAAGGTATATGAAAAATAATGTCAGACAAATTATTAATTTAATAGAATATTTGGATAAGAACAATCAAACTTCTGCAGGATTGATATTTTTAGATGCTGAAAAAGCTTTTGATCAATTAAATTGGCAATTTATGCTAAGACTGGTTGAGGAAATGAATTTTGGAGATAAAATTTTACAGGCCCTTCGAGTTATTTATCAAAAACAAACGGCACAACTTATAGTTAATGGAGGTTTATCAGAGGTATTCCCAATTGAAAAGGGGACTAGACAGGGTTGTCCATTGTCTCCATTGCTGTTTGTGTTAACTTTGGAAATTTTATTGATTAAAATTCGGGAATCATCGAAGATAAAAGGAATAGAAGTTAACAAAAAAGAGTATAAATTAAGGGCTTTTGCAGATGATCTAGTTGTTACATTATCTCAACCAACTTGTTCTGTAATGGAGTTGTTACAATTGATAAATCAATATGGACAAGTTTCAGGTTTTAAAATTAATAACAATAAGACTAAAATATTGCCTAAGAACATGACCAATTTGGATAAGGAGACATTGGTTAGATTGACAGGCTTTGAGGTTGTTAATAAGGTAAAATATTTGGGTGTTATTTTATCTGCTTCCAATTCAAAATTGTATAAAAATAATTATGAAACGCTGTGGGTTAGAATACAAAAGGATTTGGATAATTGGAAAAAGCTGCAATTGTCCCTTTTGGGGAGAATAGCAGCGATTAAAATGAATGTTCTGCCAAAATTTCTCTTTTTATTTCAAATGATACCTATTTTAAAGAAAGAAGCAAATTTAGATGAGTGGCAGAAAGGTATCAATAAATTTATCTGGGCAGGGAAAAAACCAAGAGTAAAACTTAAAATTTTACAAGATATACGAGAGAGAGGTGGATTTAAGGTACCGAATTTGAAATTGTATTACGATGCTGTGGTCTTAACATCAATTAGTGATTGGGTCAATCTAACAAATGTAGATATACCGTAAATGCCGGCGTATAAGACGACTTCCGCGAGCGCTGAAATCAGCGCCAAAGACGGGGGTCGTCTTATACACCGAGTCGTCTTATACGCTGGAAATACTGGTAGTTTCTGGCGTATAAGATGACGTTCTAGGAATGTGGCCCGGCTATAAAGACGGGGGTCGTCTTATACGCCGGGTCGCCTAATACGCCGGCATATACAGTACTCCTTTTGGAGGGATGGGATTTACTTTTTGGATGGCATGCCTATTTAATTTATAATAAAAAGGTTGATAGGGTCTTTAGATCTCATATCTTAAGAATTTCTTTACTTCGGGTTTGGAAGAAATACAATAGAAGTGATTCAAGAATTCCATTATGGGTTATTCCATGGCATGCAATAGAAGGAATAAGGAGAGGAGTTAAGATGGATATTACTTCTTATACACAATTACTTAAGTGGGATGGTAAAAATTGGCAATTAAAATTTATGGACGAATTAGCACAAGAAAATATTATTTATTCATGGTTTCAGTATAGACAATTATTGGAAAGGTGGAAGATAGATTATAAGGTGGGCTTGCTTAGAGAGGATGAGAATTTGTTAAAACAAATTAGAGATCAAAGTTGAACCCACATTAAAAGAATTTATGGTGTCTTGGTGGAAATGGACTCAGAAGCAGAGCTAGTTAAAGATTGTATGGTTAAGTGGGCACAAAATTTTGATGAACCAATTTTATTAGATACTTGGGAGATTATTTGGGTGAGGAATGTTAAATTCACGCAAGCCCAAAACTTACGGGAAAACTTTTATAAAATGTTTTATAGATGGCACCTTGATCCACAAAAAATGTCTCGTATGTATCCAAACCTGCAGCCTAAATGTTGGAGATGTGGTTGCTCAGATGCTACTTATTATCATATTTGGTGGTCATGTAAAAGTATTAAAGCTTTTTGGATTAAGATATGGTGGAATATTCAAAGAATTTTTAAAAGAAGGATAAAATTTACTCCACAATTGTTTTTGTTGGGTATTGTTTCTGATTGTGATGATAAAGAGATTATTTTAATGTTAAATTTAATTACTGCGGCTAGGTTGTTAATAGGGCAATATTGGAAGAAGGAATTTTTGCCTACTTTGCAAGAATGGTTTTTTAAAGTTTCCTACTTAGCGGAAATGGCAAAAATTTCGGCTTTCTTGAAAGATCAATCACAAGAGAAGTATCTTTCGGTGTGGAAAAGATGGATAAATTTTATACAATATAAGTATGATATAAGAAAATATTATCTCGCTTTTGAATAATTTATATAAGTTTAAGATATTATTTAGAAGTGTAATTGTTATTATTCTTTAATTTTTTATTTTTTTTATTTCTTTTTATTTTATTTTTTGTTTTTCCTCTTTTTGTTTCTTATATATAATGGAGTTAAAGTATTTTACAATTTGTTTATTGTGTGTAATTATATTTGCTTAAGGTTTATTTGGGTTTAATTTTTTTTTCTTTTAAGATCAGTTAAGCCTATATTCAGCTCTGGGAAGAACGGGGGAGGGTTTTGGGGTGGGTTGGGAGGGAATGGGGAAGGGGTTTTTATTGTAAAATTTTAAAAAATTTTAATAAAAAAAAAGTTTTTCCAGTATAAGTTTATAGTCAAGTTGAAGCAAGGGTTGCTCCATTTCAAAAATAATTAGAAACAGTCTGTATCATTTAGTAGAGGCTGTGTTCAGGGAACATTTAATCAGTGTCCACCCCCACCAGTACAGCTGTTAATTTTCTTCGTATTTTTCCTTTTATGGTAATCTGAAAGTCAAGGTCAGTCTAATCCTCAGAAAAAAGAGTTCTAACTTTTTCCACAAGGTGTCCTCAGTACAATGTAAAATCTTCTCCCAGAGACCAGGAATGTCATAAACAAGATCAGGAAACACAGAAAAAAGGAGAATTCAAGTCCAATAGCAGATTCAATATTCACAAAATTTTCCAATACCCCAAAGTGAAGGAAAATAAAAATAAAAATAGAAAAAAATCACTTTAAATTAATTCAGTCCATTTAAGCTTCTTTTTCCCACACTCACGAACGCCACTTTCTTAGAGTAGGGAAATCATTTCAAAAGTGCTCTTTACAGGCACAAAAGAAAAAAGAAACCCAAGAAAGGGAGAAAAAAAGTCTCACCCAGCTCAGCCACAGTGGTTCCTGTACTTAGATGTTCTTCTGACTTCTGGTTACAGCGGCAAGGTGAACGGCCATTTTACTGGCCGTTCTTTCCACCATCGGCCCAAAGGAGCAATCTCCGTCTGTGGAAGAAGCTGCCGCTCTCCCACAGATGACGAGGACCTCCTCAGCAGTAGCCGCCCCTCTAAGGCGGCTTTTCGACCTGATTAAGGGTCTACCGGTAGCGGAGAATCAGCTGGCGAAGAGAGCAGTCTCCTCGCCCAGCTGCGAGCACCGCGATCCGGAACCGGAAATCAACAAACTACTTTTTATTAGTTGGCTTGAAGAGATTTCTCTCTGGAATAAATAGGGAGTTGTGGGAACCAAGTGAATCATGTCATTTTGCAGTTTGCATTTTCAATGGAAAGAAAGATTTTGAATGTTGTTCTCTTTTGGCTAGAAAAAATAGAATTTTCATTAGAGATCTAAGCAATATTGGCTATTCAGAAATGCTAATTGTCTTAAAATTGCCTTTAAAATATTCCTTTCCTGATGCATTCAAGGTGATCAGCACTGATGTGATTTGTAATCAAGTTAGTCTTTCAACAGGATACATCTGGGTTTACTCCATCTCCTCACAACTGGTGTTTTATCTCCATAAGCAACATAAGCATTAAACCAGAGAAAATAATTTTATATATTTCAAGCCAAGAGGAAATAAGAAAGATTTCTGAGAATGACCTTGGGGTAACCTGCGCCTATTTTCAGAACCTGTCTTTCTTCTGTTCAAGCTCAAAATGTTACAGTATTAGGATTCTCGAGAGAGAATGTCTCAGGACATGTGGAAGGAGAAGGAGTTTTTGGTCATTACACATATCAATGCTTCTTTCTGACTCACAGCAGGCTGGTAAGATAATTATTTGCAATAAAGTTCTCCCCTAGAATTTTAATTCAGTTGGCTCAAATCCAATTAGTCATCAAACAGCACTATAAAATATTTTAAAGTTTGATAATATAGTTAAAATTTCAAAATTGTAATACCACCCACAAAGATAATATCCATAAAGATAATATCACTATGAGGATAGGTTATAAATTTGAGTCAAAACTGTCTTTCCAGTTTTGAAATATTTCTGTGTCCTTATTGTTAATGCCATAACACTTAACATAGTAATAAGTTCTCAGGCTTAGGTATATATAATTAAAGAGAGCATCCACATTATTGAACCATACTGATTTTTGTAACACCATGTTATGGCAAATAGGGTGACAAGCCTATATCACTCTTCTATCATAAAAAGGTTGATGGCCAACCCTTTGGGTTGTCCTCAGTCTTTCTCTAATATCACAGTGTAGACTGTTAATAAACATGCTTTGTGAGAAAAATCTGCTTCCTAATGCTTTATAATTTGGACATGTGTTGATTGGTTTTTATGGCCCTAGATATATACCAATGATACAAGTGGGACAGAGAATGCCATTTGAATGAAGTGACTTCATTTCATATTTCTCAACTTCTACACAAAACAGAGCATTGTTATCCTTTGGATACTGGACTTCACTGAATTTTGTGATGAACTGGGTATCTCAAATACTGCATTTTAAATAAGCATTTAGAAATGGGCCAGAAAGGTCTGAACCAAAAGTTTCTTATCCCTTATATAGATCAATTATTATTCTCAGTCTAAAGATTATGTGGGTACAACAGCCACATAATCCTGAGGCTGAGCATAAACTTTGGTGAGATGAAACTGCTCATTCCAATATATTCATGTAGATAACTTGAAGAAATATTTGAACTATTTCACATGCCAGTATTGAAAGATAAAAGAATGTAGTGAGACTTTGGTTTTCTATCTTTGCTTCCCTCATTTATCACTAAGAGTTAGTAAAATGAGCAGTAGAAATGGCAAGATTCAGCAGATCAAAACAACTTTCCCTTTTCTTCCAAATATCCCCCAAATGAGATGGTAAATTGTGCCACACTACAAATAGTTTGATAAAAACAGTGCAATCCAGTTTTTTTTAAATCAAACATTGCTGTATTCCAAATTATTAGGAAATAGTTTTTCACAGACCATTCTAAAAATGTCATATTATATAATATTAGATTGTACTGGGTATTTACTTTCCATAAATGAGTATTTTCTGTCAATAAATAGTATTGTCTATCACCACTTTTTAATCACAATCTTGGCACAATCTGATTAAAATTTATTTTCTGAGGATAAAAGGCTTTAAACATCCCATTTAAAATCTTAGAGATTTTTTCGTCTGACTCAGTTTAACACAACTTTCTCAAACATTAAAGTGATTCAGTCTGAAATGCTAAAAATATACTTACACTTCTTCTTACACTTGAAGTATAGTATAGATTGTCTACATACAAGAACAAACAGGGACTATTCATAATTGATTGTTGAGGTCTTGCTGGAAGAGGGATGTGTAAATATCTATACAGCATATGTAATGCAAGCTATACAATGAGCTAAAACAAAAATTGTTTGACCAGGGATTTGATTCACTGCAGAATACATTTCTACTTTTGAAATAAAGTAACACAGCTCATCTTTTTTCCGAATATATCTGCTGAAATGTGTAATAATCAGTAAATACTGTAAACAATTCTGAACATATACATTATTGACATTTTCATATTAATACACAGAATCACAATCACTATGATCTGTACAACAAATATAAGTAGAGAACATAAATATATGGTCAAATGGAACTTAAAGCTGGAATCTGCTTTAGGCTCATATGGGTTTTGGATATTTTTACCCCAGAGGTCTGTTCTGTCCCATTTTAATGGGATTCTAATCCCAGCTGGTATCTACCTTACCAGTAAGGGTCCTTGTGCAATGATTCCCTAATGCTTCATCTGCCTCTCTGAAAATATAAGAGTGACATGAATATTGTTGAGAAGCCAGGAAAGTAGGCTACTGGAACAAACTATATATGGATAAGACAAGAGAACCTTGAATTTATAAATGCTACTACAAAGAAAGTGGATATATGAGGCATATGAGGGAACTATGAATGGACAGAAGACCTGCAATCACACCAACTGAGAAATAGCTAGTTACCCAATGCTTCAACATAGTGAAGACGAAGCTGATATTATAACTGAAAATAGGCTAACTACTTATTATATCCCATACTTGAGAAGATCACAAGAAAAACTGCTTATATTCAAAGCTGCTGATATGAGGCATAAGATCATGGATAAACTAGCTACAGTCAGCCCTTAAAGCAGGTTACCAAGGCTCAGCAGAGAAGTACCCTTAGATAGTATGCTAGAAGGTGCCAATATAGCCCTCACAACAATCCCTACTACCAGGATATCTCACACCAGTGAACTAAACTACAGCTGCTGTAATCCTGGAGATGTTTGGCTACACAATCAAGTAAAACAAAGTATATACCACCACCACCACCCCCTGAGAAAATATGGTTAGAGGCTAAGATCAAGGTGACTCAGAGAATGATTAGTTAGCTGGTGAAATTACAGAAAGGTGTGAAGATTAGGGACAAGACTTGGCTACTGAAAACAAACAATGGCCTAACTCCATCTGAAGCCCTCAAGACTGCCAAGAAAAAAAGGCTGACAGCATTGCTACCAGACTATTCTCCAAAGAACCATCCAAAATGTACTCCCAGCTGCAGTGTAATAACATAGTAAGAGCAGAGCCACCAACAGTAGAAACTCAACAGTCTGAAAGGACATATGGGAGAAAGAAAAGACATATAATAGCAGTGCAAAGTGGCTGCCAGACCTAAGAGCAGACCACTCTCCCAAAACAAGAACAATTCACCATCACAGTAGCAGACATCCAACAGTGGATTAAGAACATGAAAAGCTGGACAGCACCTGGTTCAGACATAATCCAGACCTACTGATAAAAGAAACTAATGTATGAACACCTAGCAGCATAGAAGAACAAGCTTCTAGAAGCAGATTCCCACCCAGACTGTCTAACACAAGGAAGAAAAGTGCTAAACATGAAAGACCCCCATAAGGAAACAGCACTAGCCAACCACAGGTCAATAACTTGTCTCCTTAAAACATAGAAAGTCCCATCCGGCATACCAAGTTCTAGAATCATATGGGCCAGTACATGTACTCAGTTCGGAAGTGCATTGGGAACAGCATCAGAGGCTCTGTACTCCTGGTTGTTCATTGGTAAAGTAGTTGCCCAAGACTCAAGGTTTAAACAGACTAATCTAAGAACAGCCTGGATTGACTATAGGAAAGTCTACAACTCAATGCTATAGACATGGATCTGTAAATGCCTGTAAATGACTATACAAAGTCAAAAGGACACTAAGAACCTTCCTCAATAACTCAATTGTACTGTGGAAAATAACACTAAAAGTCAACTCAAGACAGCTCACACAAGTGACCATCATCTGCTGCATATATCAAGGCAATGCATTGTCCTTGCTGCTGCTGCATAGGCTTGAACCCCTTCAGCCAGATAATCACAAAGACTGAATTTGCATACAAGTTGAAGAGTTATATGCAAAGAATGAATGAGATTGATTTCTGATTTACTTGACACAGATCTACAGTGAAGACATTGGGATGTCATTCAAACTACAGAAGTGTAGCTGGACTGTGGTCAAAAGATGGACAGTAATTAAGATTGATGGGATGGAACTATTAGTAAGTCACATAGTAGACATACAGAACAAGTATCTTGGTATCCCACAGTCACATGGAAACCACAATGAGGAAGCAAGACAAGCAACATCCCAGTACTACTGAAGGATCAGACAGGTCCCAAAGAGCCAGTTCAATGGGAAGAACAAGATTTATGCCATTAATGCATATGCTCTGTCAGACACTTGATACCTGCTGGTGTTGTTTAGTGAACTGGCCAACGAAGGACATGGAAGTTGCCAATGTAAAGATATGGAAGCTCCTCACAATGTACAGAGGTTTTCCCCCAAGTCCAACACCCAGAGACTGTACATCAGCTGGCGGGTGAAGATTGGTGAATGTCAAAGCCACAGTCATGGATGAAACCCAAAATGCCCAGTAGTACATCAATAAGATGGCAACCCAAGATGAACTGTTGAGAGAATCCCTGAGGTAGCAGCAGATGTGGGAGGAAGATCAAGGAGACAAGACCCTGCATGGGATGTACCATCTCAAATAGCTGAGTTGTCAGATATTGGGAAATCCTACCAATGGCTGGAAATGGCTGGACTAAAATCATCTCTGAGGCACTAATCACAACTGCACAAGAACCG